TGTGAGGGAGGGAGCAAGGAAATCTGGGGTGGGGGATAAGCAAGGAAGTCATCCAGCTCTTGTTTTGGAGGAGGTGTGAAGGAACAGGGCAGCGTTTGCCTGTCAGTAACACCATGCAGAAGGGCAAGGATAGAGCTAGAAAACAGATTTCAGGGTCCTGCTATCACCCAGGATGGATCACCTGAGGACACAACACAGTGACAGTTACCCTGAGCGCAATACCTGTCTTGTGGGGCTGTGCTTGCAGTTCAACTGCTGGCCATGGAGAAAGGGGTCCTGGCTGGTCCTCCAAGAGCCCCGAGTCTCCGAGAAATGGGATGGGACAGGATGGGATGACATGGGACAGGACAGGGAGAAGCACAAGGTGTTGCTCCTCAAGGCAGCACACTCTTCAGAAGGCAGCTTGCCTGCCTCTCCCCAGAATGCTGGGCTATAAGGCAGCCGGGAGCATCCTTGTGTCACATCCAAGTGCCCAGCATTACCTCCCCAGGGGTTCATGGCCTGAAGCTGACTCAACACATCCCTCTCCAGTTGACAGGACTCAGCCCGCCTGCAGGGAAACAGCTTGCTTTGCTAACACTGAGACACAGACCCAGTAATCTCCTTTCTGGCAAGCCAGAAGAGGGAAGTCAGCCCTGACAATAGCGGTGGCTGGCTTCCCATGAAGAGCACCCCTTCTGAGGGGGAGCTGCAGGCATCTGCTGCTCCCTGCCTTCTCCATTCTCCCCACAGGACCTGCCATTTCCAGTGGGTGCAAGCAGGTGGAAAAGCCTCACTTGGCTTTCACCACCTGGAATGGCAGCAGCTTCCCAGCGGAGCCAAGCTGCTGCGCAGTGCCCAGCAGTGCTGCTGCTGTGCTGCTCCTGGCCCTGCTTTGCAGCTGTAGTCATGGAGGTGCTTGGATCCCTTCAAAATGCCAGGCTTCTCAGAAGAAAAAGAATTCCATGAAAGCCTGGCTTCCTAGTAAGCGCTGGAACCGCTCATTGCTGCTTGCAGCTAAGATCAGGGCTACCTCCTGTGATGCAGAACAGGTTGCTCTGCCACTGCTGCCCTCACCCCCCATCCCACTGCTCCCACTGCTGCCCAGCACACCTTCAGGGATGCTCTGGCTGCTCCTGGCAAGGAGCAGGGGCTCCTTATATGCACATCACAAGCAGGCCAGCAGCAGCCTGTGGCCATGCTCTTCCATCGCATCCTTCATCATCTTTCCCGCATCAAAAACAGCCTGGGGACTATGATAAAGGGCTTCATGGTTTCCTATCACCCAGCTGTGTCAGCTTCCCTTGCTCCCTAACTTTCCCCATCTACTGCAGCTCCTACAGCGCCTGCCTCCTCCCTGCAGCATCATCAGGGCGTGGGAAAGAGAGGGACAGAAAGCAGCAGCAGGGACCTTCATTCTCACCTCTTGCATGATGCCTTTACTGGGTCAGTAGGGCAGTGCTCTGACCTCAAGAGGCACCACAGATGCAAGGTAAGGGCCACTCCATGAAGCCTACACTGCCTGTACCTTTGCACAAGAGGTCAGGCTCCTGCAAACAAGCCTCGGATCCCAGGGGCAGCCAGGACCTCTCACCAAGCCAAAGCATGCTGAGGGCAGCCAGGGAATGGCGCCTGTGGGAGGAAGGAGCTGCATGGGAATGGTGCAAGGCTAGAGGGCAGGCTCCCAGCTGCCAGCAATCAGCCTACAAGTAGAAAAAGTCTGCTCTCACGGGAGAGTGCCCAGCTGTGGGCACAAAGGGCCTGTGAGAGGCAGATGGGGCTGCTGAAGAAGCCCTGTCAGGGAGGAGAGGGCATGACACAGCCCCAGGAACAGGAAAGGCACCCCAGCAGTGTGCACCCCTGGGACCATGCAGATAGACATGGGACTGGTGGGGCAGGGAAGGAGCCAGTGCTCAGGGAAGGCTGAGACTTACACTAAAGATGGCAGGGGCCAGTATGAAGGCCATGCCAGCCCTGGGGTGACATCCAGATGGGCAGGGTAACCAAACACCATGCCCACCTGGCTGGTGCTGGGGGGTGGCAGGGAGGCACTTGCTGCCCCATGACACTATCCTGGTGCCAGCCATACCTCCTGGGACAGGGACAGGTCCCGCTGGGGGGGGTAAGGTGGCAGCACCTAGGGATGCAGGGCCGAGTATGCTGGGGTGAAGCACCCGTCGGACTGCCTGACACCCCGCAGTACCCCAAGCTCAGGACGGGTGCCGGGGCTGCCCTGGAGCGCTGCCGCTACCGCAGCCGGGGTGCCCGCTCTGCCCCAGCACCCTGCGATCCCGCAGGCACCGGCGTCTGTTGCCCCCCACCCTCCGGCCAGCCCTGTCCGTAGGACGCCGCTCCCGCCCGGCCCAGGGTGTCCCGGGGCTCGGCCGTGCTGGCTTACGTGGTTCTATCCTTTCCGGCAGGCTCTCTCCGCGGTGCTGCCGGCGGGCGGTGCAGGATCCCGCTCGGCTCAGGCTCAGGCTCAGGCACAGCGCTGCCTGCAGTGCCTGCCTGCTGCTCGCCAGGTCCTAGCGCGCTGCCTGCCGCCTCAAGGACAACGCGCACAAGTGTGCGGGACAGCCCTCAACCACAGCCCGCGGCCGCAGCCGGTGCTCCCAGCCCTGCCTGACTCTGCCTCGCACCCCGCTCTGACCCGGGACCCCCCGCTGCAGCACCCGCGTCTGCGAGAAGGATGCTTCTGGGGTCCCCCGCTGTCGCATCCCCGGCACAGGGATGCTCCGTGCTCTGGGTTTCCCCAGCGCCTCGCCTCCTCCTGGAGCAGACGGCTGGCCCTCCTGCCCCTGCGCTCCTGGGGACCTTGCCCCGGGAGGGGGACACCGCTGTGCTGCGAGTTTGCAGAGCAGGCAAGGAGGGCAGGGTGCCGGCAGCCAGCCCCTCCGGTAATGCTTCCCCCTTCCACTCCCCGTCCGCAGCGGGGTCAGGCTCCAAACCCCTCGCAGCCACCGGACTGGAAAGCCACGGGTCCTGGTTGGAGTCCCAGACCTCTGTCCCCCGGGGGTGGGCGAGAACGGCAGCAGGTGATAGCTCCAGGAGCTCAGCACAGGCTACAGGGTGACCTTGCAGCAGCACTGCCGTTCAGCCGAAATGGGGAGCAAGTCCTTGGCTCGGCGAACAGGGATTTGAACCAGCCCCCCAGGGAACACCCTGTCTCCGAGGGAACAAGGCACAGCAGAGACAGCACTATCAGGGATAACCCCCCTGCCTGCACCTTGCCATTACCTTGAGGGCTCAGTTCTCCCGGTGCCAGAGGATGCTGCCTGCTGCCTGCTGCCTGCAGCCTTCTCGCTGCGCGGTGCCAAGTAGGGTCGGGGCTTTCCGCGAAGGCAGGACCAGGGTGCAGAGTCTTCACTGCCCGCCGGCTCTGCAGCCGGGGAGGGTTTGGAAGCCCTGGTGCTGGCTGGGCCCGGCTGAGCGCGGCTTCCGCTGGCTCAGCAGGTGCAGCCTGCAGGCACGGGCAGATTAGCGGGGCAGGGGGAGGAGAAGTGGTTTCTGCCATAGGAAACGGCAACCGGGATTCGTCAGTGAATTGCAGCGGGGCCGAGCGCCAGCATGGGGAAGGAGAGATGGGCGGCTGCGGGTAGGAAGCCACCCCGGGGGAAAAACGTATCCTGTGAGAGGAGGACAGCCCCGGGCACTGAGAGCAGTGCTGCGGGTGCCAGCGTCCTCCCTGGGATGGCACATGCCACCCCATGCTGCTGTGCTGGCCTCGGGCTATGGCAGGACGCTTGCTGAGCCTCCACCCCACTGTGGGTCGGCACCAGCCCCCTGGGGCCTGAGGGTGGGGGCCCCTCACACAGACCCCCCGCGCACACTGCCCCTGCACCGGGCCCCTCAGCTGCTCAGGAATGAACTGGCATCTGCCCACCGGCTGCTCTCCTGGTATGTGCGGCAGCAGCCTCCTCCCTAGCCCATCCCAGGCTGGCCCTCTCCCAGGACATTCCCCCTTCCCAGCCCTGCTATCCCCTCGCCTCTTCCCATTAAGGCAGCGCAGGCAGCTGGGCTTCAGTGCTGGAGGAAAACAGGTGCCGGAGCCAAGAGCGATGGAGCCAAGTGGAAGGTGGGAAGGCACAGGGGGAGCACTAAAAGCACAGCAACACCCCTCGCGGCGTGTCCTCCCACCCTGCAGTGGGAGCACGCAGAAAGCCCCTCTGCTGGTGATTCCAGCGTCCCCACCTCCAGTCCCAGTGGCACTGCAGGAGGGAAATGGGGTGGCGGGAGCACTTCTCTCCCAGCCCTTGCTGCAGAGCTGGGCTGCAGCCAGAACTTCTATTTTCAGCCCCAAAACATGTATAAGGAGGCGAGGAGTGTGCGCAGCCCAGCCTCACAGCGTGCCAGGGAGAGGCCCTGCTACCCAGAGCCCCGGAAGCTTCCCCTTCTACCCCTGGGGCTGGTGAATACTCAGTGCAGGCTGGGCTTCCCCTTTACCAGCGCAGGCAGGAACCAGGGCAGCTGAAGCTGGTGTAGCCTGGTGAAGTTACTGCAAAGTATTTGGGATGCAGGAAGCCCTGGGGGTCTGGCTGCACTGCCCTGACCCCTCCATGGCACAGAGTAACTGCTTGTCGTGACCTGGGCCAGCGGCCATCCGAGAGCTGGGCAGGCCTGGCAAGGCTTGGCAGGCAGAAGGATTTGCTCTGCAGGCAGTGGCTTCCCCACCGACCTCCTGCAGCAAGGAAAAGGGGCCCAGATGCCCCCTGGGATTAGCTGGGCTGGGTACAGGCACAGAGGAACCACAGGACAAAGCATCCTTGTGAGGCGCCCAGGCTTCTCCACAAGTAGGACTGAAGCGCATTGCAGAGGTCTCCCTCGCCTGAGGCTTCCCCGCAGCAAGGGCCACCATGCAGACAGAGCCTGACGGGTGCTGCTGGAGGAAGAAGCTCCCACGCTATGTGTCTGTTTATTTTTTAATGAAAACACCCCCCTCGCCCCCTGCTAGTGCTGCGTGTCGGCAGGATGCCTGGGGAGCCAGCGCACCCGGCAGGACGGGTGCTCAGCGCCAGGCTGCGGCGGCTGGAGCAGAGCTGCTCACCGCAGCCTCTCTCCCCTGGGGAGGCGGTGAGCTGGTGCTGGGAGCAGAGACCATGCTGGGATGGCACCCAGGAGGATCAAGGGCAGGCTAGGGCTTTTCTCCCCGTTGGCTGGGGCTCACTCCTTCTTCCCAAAGAACTTCTTGAAGACGGATTTGTTCTTGGGGCGAGGGGGGCTGGGGGTCTTCTCCCCCAGTGTGTCCTGTGGGGTCCCTGGCCGGGCCACGAAGGAGTGGCAGCGTGCTCGGGGCACAGCGGGTCCTTGCTCCCCAATGTACAGTGTGACCGAGTAGCTGCTCCCAGCCTCCATGGGTTCCTTGGGCACAGCCACTGGAGTGATCCTCTGGTAGGTGGCTGCAAGAGGGAGCAGTCAGCAGGGAGGGCAGGGTACCAGCAGATGCTGCCAGTCCCCCAGAGCTCACCCCGAGTAGGGAGCTGCAGCCAGGCACAGGGATGTGAGAGCGGGTGGATGCTGGAGCAGCATCACACCTGCCCTCGGGTGTCGGTGGGGACAGGGACAGTGGTGCCACCTTCTGGCAGTGACAGCGAAACCAGCGTCCTACCTGAGGTGAAGGAGTAGGACCTCCTCTTGTTGGCCACCAGCCCGTAGTCGTCATCTTGGCAGCTGTTGTCCCACAACCCCGGGGACCCTCTGGGTGACCACTGCTGCTCCCTGTGCCTGGACACGTAAGCATCCTCTGGAGCAGAACAGAGACAGGTCATAAAGCAGGGCCACCACAGGACACCCATGTCAGCCCCAGAGAGGACAGCAAAATGTTCTCCAGGAAGTGAAAGGAGGTAACTGGTGCTTTTCCCAACCCAGTTCCTGGGCATGGGGCTCTGGGCCTCCTGGCCAGAAAAGTCACCTGCTGCTGCCACAGTCCCGTTGGCTGTGCCATCCTGGCTGCCCAGAGCCCGCTGCAGCCAAGCGTTGGAGCAGGGAAGCACCACGATCTCCTGGCTCTTGGTGGTCGTGATCAGATGCTGCCCCTGGAGGTGGGAGCTCCCAGGGCTGGGGACCTTGCTGAAACTGGGATGTAGCAGATTTAGTTAACCAGACTGGTCCCCATATCCTGCTGGAGCAGCACACAAGGGCAAGCATGGGAGAGAGCTGTAACAATGAGACCCAGCTACTCCTGGCTACTCACCCCCCAGCACCGCCAGTGCCCTCGACATGCTGTGCTGCCACCTGGAAGTAATCCACTTCGGGGAAACCTGGGGGTACAGAAAACATCCTGCTAGGTGCAGGCAACGTGCAGGACCATCCTGTAGAGCCAGCCCCAGCTCTGGGTGCTCGTGCTGCATGGTGGGCCCCTCTGACCTCCTGCTGCGATGCCTGCTCTCGGTCCTGCCAACCCTGGTGAGACCTGAAGCCCCTTGGGTACGGCTATAGCAGTGGGAAGACCTCAGTATTACAGGTCTCCTTGCCTGGATGACAGGCAAGGTCTTTCCAGGCCCCACAGAGAGGATGCAAGAAGACCAAGGCGCAATTACAATTTTCCTGACACTAGGTTTTCGCTGCTGCGGCTCCACTGACGTCAGTTGTGCTATTCCTGATTTATAACTGTGTATGTGGTGTGAAAACAAAGCCTCCAAATCCTGCCTGGCAGAGATCTGCTGTTCCCAAGGCAAGTTAGGAGGAGGCATAAATCAGAGACAACACCACACTGCTTCTCTTCTGACCCTCCCTGTACCAGTGGGGCTGCACCCCATGGTACACACATACAGCCAGGGCCCTCTCACAAGCAAGGGCTGCTCACCTGAGTTTTGCTGCAGCTTGGAGACCCATTCGTTCATGAGGGGCTGGGAGGGAGCCCTCAGGAGGTACTCGGAGCCATCCTGCAGCCTGCAGGGAGGGAGAACAAGTCAGCAATGAGACAGACACGGGGTGCAAATACCACAAGCCCTGCCAGCCTGGGAAAGAGGGGAAACGGGTGAGAAAGAAAGAAGGAAATCATAAGCACTGCACTGAGCCACTGAGCAATGGCAGGTATTGGTGGGTGTCTGTCCCAGCCGGGGCACATCAGGGAGGGCTGTGCCCAGGTTTGGGGTGACTCACTGAAGCCTGAAGCAGTTGGTCTTCTTTGTGTACTCGGCATCCGGGGTGCAGACTGCCCCGGCGAGGTTCAGGGGAAGGGCCACCACGGAACTCTGCAGCACAGGGAACAGCAAGAGTAGCAGCAGGGTCAGCAGGTTCTGCCTTCCCCGCTGCCACCCTCCTACCCTGCTGCCAGCTCCGTCCCATGGCACTCCACTCTCCCCCACCACACCTTCAGGCTGTCCCTGCGGTCCTGGTAGAAGCACAGGGTCTGCCTCATCAGCACGGCGTGGAAGAGGCTCCAGGCCCGGCAGCTGGCCTGCAGGACACAAACGGGACAGCTCTGACACCACAGCTTTGGAAGAAGGCCATGCGACCCAGAGTGCACCCCAGCCCCGGTGAGCTCTGCCCTCCCAGCAGCACTGCCATGGTAGTGCCATGAGCACCCCTGGCTTCACTCATGCCCCAAAACCTGGATGCTTCCTGCCATGTCCCAGCACTCCAGCCTTGAAGAAGACCTGCAGCCATGCATGTACCTTCCTCCCTCCTGTCTGCAACACGTGCTTCCTTTCCAGTGTGCCCTCCATCATCTGAAACTCCGTTTTACCGGGAGGGACCTGTGAGGAGACAGGGGTGAATGATCCATGTTCTGGTAGTGCCATGTCAGGCCCTGAGCACATGGGATCTGCCTGACCCATCCTCAGCAGGCAATGCCAAGGTGGGAACGGGACAACAGAAGCAGTGTTCTGTGCCGTTTGTAGGCTTTTGGTGTGCAGTTTGCTGGAGCGGGTATCCCAGCTGCGGCCTGGAATGTCCCCCAACCCACTGCTTGACTCCAAGGGACACTCCATGGCTCTCACCTTGCTGCCCTCCCTCTCCTCTTCCCCACATCTCCGCAGATCCCAGGCGCTGGGGCCATCCAAGGAGGCTGTGGTGGACACCAGCTCCTCTGAGTGGGGGGACATCCCGTGCCTGCTGGGAGTGCCACCACTGCTGTGCCCTGCGCCAGGGCTCTTCTCTCGTGAAGGGCTGTGGAGGAGCCGGGCAGTGGTGGGAAGGGTGAACTTGGCCACTAGTATGTTGCTGGCTGACGAGAGGATGAGGGGCCCACCGGCAGTGGTGTCAGGGCTGGGTATGCTGCCTGCCCTGCTCCCTGGTTGGCGGTGGGCATGGCTGCCTGCTGGTATGCTGGGAGCCTGCTGGTCGTCTGCCCCATTCCAGATGGCCTGCAGCTCCTCCTCCTCCTCCTCAAACTGCCCATGGGCAGGGTGGCAAACCTCTCTGGTGCCCGATGCAGGGCTGTGGGGCTGAGGGGACCCCAGCTCCCATTCCAGGACGGAGAGCTGTGTGGGGGCAGCAGGGGAAGCTGGGGACACCTGGGGCTGGCTGCTGCCGGCTGGCCATTGTGTGTGGGCAGGGCTGGGCATGGCTCCTGCCCTGCCTGGTGCACCAGCAGGGGATGGCCCCGGCCCCGGCCCCGGTCCCAGCTCCAGCCGAGCGGCTTCACAATGCCTGGCCCTGCCACCGGCACCAGGACTGCTGTCCTGGCTCAGCCGGGCAGACAGCTCGTCCCCGTCCCGTCCGACCCGCTTGTGCAGCACGCCGATGTGGGGCACCCGGCTTGGCCTGAAGTCCAGGGGGTCTTCAGCAGTGCTGCCAGGGCGCCTCGGGCTCCGGCGCTCCTCACCAGCACAATGTGCCCTTTGCTGGCTGTAGCTGGGGTTGAAGCTCACCTCCTCGAACCATGTTCCTTGCTTGCTCTTAGGGGAAGACCCCAGCCCCTCACCAGGCCCCTGGGGACTGTGCCCATCCGCATCTACCTTCTTCTGCCATACAGCCCCATGCGTGCCTGTGGGCTCCTGCGGCCTCACTGCCCTGACCTGCCTCTGCTCCTGCCCCTCTGCTTCCTCTGGCCGCACCGTGGCCCCTCGGTGGCACCCCAAGACCACTGGGTCCCGGGGCAGCTCCAGGCTGAGCACGGAGCCCAGGGAAAGGTGAGGGCATGTGTTTTTTTGGTTGGGGAGGTGGGTGTCCTGGGGGGCCGCCTCGCACTCAGCATCAATGTCCCGCACCAGCGGGTTCCTGACGTAGAGCAGCAGCTCCCCGAGCTGGGGTCCAGCAGCCGCTGCTCCAGGGCCCCCCTTCCTCCGGCCGCACTTCTGAGGCCATGTGCTGCTGGGGCCGTGCCGCTCCTCAGGCGCAGGCTGCAGGGAGCTGGCGCCCATGATACCCTGCAGGGTCAGCAGCCGGGCCTGCTCGGCCCGTGCCTGCTCCCGCCGCTGCAGGCTGTTGAAGAGGGAGCCGGCCCCAGCCTTGGGCAGGGTGTGAGAGGTGGATGGGGTCCCAGTGCTGGGTGCTGGAGGCCGCCGGGCGACGGCGGGCGGCCGCTTCGCGCTTGAGGTTTTCCCTGCCTCCGCCTGTGCCTGGGGACACAGAGACAAGAGAGGTGTGACTGTAACTCTCATGGATGAAGCCTCCATTACCCTGCACCGACCACCCCCTCTCCATGCTGTGCCTAGGCAAGTGGGGAGCCAGGGGGCAGGCAGCCAAAAATGCTCACCAGCAGCACATGGCAAGCTGGGAGCAGCATGGCTTCACCTCAGCCCCCTGAGGGCTGCCCCCACCTCCGTGGAGGCAGAGGAACCTCTGCCCATGATGAGAGCCCTGCTGGGGTGCAGTGGGGGCTGCCTATGCCAGGTAGCTCTCCTGCCCCACTGCCATCACTTCGGGGTGGGTACTGAGACAGCAGTCACTGCTGCCCACCCCTGCATGCCCCTAGGCGACAGAGCTGTGAATGCACTGGGCAGGGGCTGAGCCCCCCCACTCCCTACAGAGACCCCCTCCAGCCTGGCCGCAGCCCCTCTCCTGGGTTTCCACACTTGCAGCAGCTGGAGCAGTGTCCCCCTGTACTCCTTGGGCCGGAGGGTGTTTGTTACTAAAACTCTCCTGGCAGCCCCTCGCCCTGCCCCAGTGCCCTCTGGCCTCTCCAGCCTGGGGCCTCTCCCTTGGGCTACCTGTCCTGGCTGCACTGGGGTGCCCAGCCATGGCTGTCCTTGGGACACACAGTGCTTGGTGCACACTCTGGAGCAACAAACGGGTGCAAGCACCAACAAAATACCGCACTCCCAGCCCCAGGGTTACAAGCCATGCAACCCAGAACCAGCCCTCCCCAGACGTGCACCCTCACATGGCCCCCTCCACCCTTGCTCCCTTCAGTCGGCCGCACAAGGGACCGCTGCTGCATGCTGGCAATGGAGGGGGGAGGCTCTCCCACCCATCATGGCTACCAGAACCAATTACCCAGGGAGCCAACCTGCGGCCAGCCCTGCCCAAACTCCCTCCTCACATGCCCCAGCACCCACCACACTCTGGAGCTCATGGCACCAGGAGGGTTCCCCCTCTCCTGCAGGACCACCACTGGCAGGGCACAGCGGCATGGCAAGGAGGGTTGGTAGCAGGCAGGTTCACACCATGCAGCCACTCTGCCCAGCATGCAGCCTCCCCTGGGGATGTTACCTCTTCCACTGGCTGCTGAGGCGGCTTTCTCTTTCGCTTTAAACTACCCCAAGTGTTTCCTAAAAGCCCCTGGCAACGCTTCCAAAAGTTTTTACAGCCTGAGTGTTTAGTGGCAGGGAGCTGAGCAGGGGGAGAGAGAGACACAGAGAGAGTTCAGGGCAGAGTGAGTGAAGGAGCCAGAGCAGGAGAGCGCAGGCAAAGGGGGTGGTGCAAGCTGGTCCTTGGCCCTTGGGCATTGCTTGGCATCGGCACAGCCAAAGGTCCCTCTCCTGAGACTGATACAGCCCCAACAGCCCGTGGGGGCTACCCTGCAGCCCTCAGAGCCTCCCGGTCTGCATGGATGCACAGCTCTGGGAGGCCACCCTGGCTGGCCCTGAGACAGGCACTGTGTGCTCACCCATGGCTCTGCGGAAGCTGTCTGCCATCCCCACATACCGTCCGCAGCGCCTCCTCTCCCAGCCGCTCCCCTCCAGGCACCGGCTGTGCCTTCTTCTTCTCGCCCTTCTTGCTGATGCTGAGGATGAGGTTGACCGTCCCGCCCAGCCCGCCGGGGCCCCGCGGCGGCAGCAGCAGCGTGGAGGTCTCAGCAGGATCCCAGATGACAGCCTCCTCGTGGGGTCCTGCACCGGCGGATGCTGGGCTGCTGGGCTCCCCCCGGCTCTGCTCCACTCCCGATGGGGCATCCAAGTGGGGCAGTGCCGGAGGGGAGGTGGCCGTTCCCGCTGGCAGCTGTGGCTCTGATCTTTGCACAGGCTTGAGGATGGAGCAGGGCATGAACTCCACTGGGCTGTGGATGCCCTCCAGCTGGGGCTGAGCACACAAGGCATGCTGCTGCTGGGGAGCAAGGCAAGAGAGGGAATGTGGAGGAAGGTCTGCCAGAGGCAGGCGTTTTCTCAGGACAATCTTCCCTTTGCCCTGCCTGAGAGTCCCAGAGGTATTGGCACACATCCCTCCTTCACTTCTACACCACCCGCTCCTCCCGGTGCCTCTGCTACCCTCAGCCTCAAGGCTGATCCTGCTCCCTGACAGTCTCAGCATGGCTGGGTACTCACTTGGCTGGTGGGAGACATGCCTGAGGGGCTCTCTGGGTCTCTTCTCTCCTCCTGCTTGCTCCCTGGGTCCCGCTGGTGCCTCTGTGCTCGCCAGCGCACCAGCACCCAGCCCAGCATGCTCTGCAGCTCCTCCAAGCGCTCCTTTATCTGAAGGGAGGAGAGATGCTGAGCAGCCTGCAAGGACTCCTGGCCCTTGGACACTGGCCCCACCAGGACAGTCCACTACAGAGCAGTTTAGGAAGGTTTTTTGAGGACAGTCAGTCACATCACCTCAGGTCTCAGCATCTACTGCTGAGTGAAACTCCTGCCTGCCCCGAGCAGCCGAGGAATGCATGGCTGTTCACTTGCTGGGGCTCTGCACCCACACCTTGATCCCTCTTGTCCACAGAGGATTTTAGGGGGTTCTGAGGGTTTCCCCCACCTCATTTGCCCTGTCCTTACTGTTGCGCTCAGGTAGTGCTCCTCAGACACCAGCTGCTGCCCTGATGCTGCCAGCGCCTCAAACTCCTTGAGCTTCCCTTCGATCCTTCTCTCCAGCTCCTCACACGGAGTCTCTGGGAGGCCGTGGCCACTTGAGCTTTCAAAGATCTGAGCCCGCGTGTCCTCCGTCCAGGAACTGTGGGCATGTGAAAAATGGGCTGAGGAACGACCTACTCCCTTCTCAGCCCTGCAGGCCCCAGAGAACCCATTCCCATGCTCAGGGATGGCTGGAAGCAGCTTGCTAGAGTAGCAGCAAGTCTGGTGGGACAGGGCAAGATGCTGTGGAGCTGCTCCACAGCAGGGAGCCCTGGCAGAGCCCTTACTTCCAAGCTCCCCATGGCCTTGCCTGGCTGAAGCTCTGGCATTGCCCATGTACCCACCATGGAAGCCCATGCTTCCACACCGTGCTGTCACCAGCTCTCCCCAGCCACTGCAGGGACAACCCTGAGGGCTCATCACCACTCACATCATGGCCAAGTAATCCCTGAAGAAGAGCCGCAGCCGGCTGGCCTGCTGCACACTGGCCCGGGTCTCCTGCAGCAGCTCCTGCAGCCTTGCCCAGGCACACAGCGTCTCCTGCACCTCCCGGCTCACAGGGCACAGATGAGTGGGGCACAGCTCTTCCAGGTGTGCACTTGCCCTCTCCAGCTCCTCCAGCTGCCCCTGCAGGGTCTCTGACACCTCACGCTAAAGAGCACACGGCAGAAAAGGTTCAGGATGCATCCAACCCCTGTGTGCCCAGGCTGAACTCCCCTGTGCGCTGGGATGATGGGATGCAAGGGAGGATGCAGGGATGGAAGGGAGGATGCAGGGATGGAGGGGAGTATGTGGGGACAGAGGATGCTGGCACAGGGAGCGGGCAGAGCCCCCCTTGGCAGGAGGATGGGCAGAGCAGTGGGCTGCCTGGTTTCCCTGCTCTGCTGGCGTGAGTCACCTCCCTGCGCTGGGAAGATGAGTGAGGTGCTGGCAGCCAGGCGCTGGCACACGGGAGCTGACGTAAGCTCTTCTCCCCTTGGCCTGGCCTGCGCCAGCACAGGGAGCGGAGCAGGGCAGGGCTCAGCTCTGCTGGAAAATTCCAGCCCAGCCTGCCATGGTGTGCCAAGGCTCACAACACCTGGGCCCCTGAGGGACGGTGCCTCCCTGGGATGGCCCCAGCCAGCTGGGATGCCTCCCTACCATGGGCACGCTGCTCCCTGGGTCTCACCTCCAGCTGCTGCTGCTGGCTCAGCAAGCCCTGCAGCCCCTCAAGATCCTTCTCACACTTCACCGCAGTGAAGCCGCTCTCTGCTTGGGCAGTGTCGCGAGCCAGTGCCTCAGCTCTGCACCGAAGAGCCTCCAGGCATGGGGACACCTCTGCCACCTGGATGGGCATTGGGGAGAAGGGATGAGCCCTGGTGTGGGACCCCCTGTGCCACCATTCACCAGCA